ACAGATAGCCCATTGTGCAGCTTTGTGCTTAATTACAAACAAACATCTAGAAAGGAGTTTCCCCACATAGATTCCAATGGTTTTGAAAATTACTCTAATACATTTGGATTATTTAATCAAAATTATCCTTATTCTGAAGTTGAAAAATAAGAAATGCCAACGTATAAAAGGGACGAAACATAACAATGACATACGGTTATCGATTTCATGTTCAGTTACAACATTTGTCGAACTTGAAATATCAGGTACAATTACTACTTGCTATCACTTCTCTATCTAGACTTGAACTTGAAATATCGGGTACAATTACTACTTGCTATTACTTTTCTATCTAGACTTGAACTTGAAATATCAGGTACAATTACTATTTGCTATCACTTTTCTGTCTAGACTTGAACTTGAAATATCAGGTACAATTACTACCTGCTATCACTTCTCTATCTAGACTTGAACTTGAAATATCAGGTACAATTACTACTTGCTATCACTTCTCTATCTAGACTTGAACTTGAAATATCAGGTACAATTACTACTTGCTATCACTTCTCTGTCTAGACTTGAACCTGAAATATCAGGTACAATTACTACTTGTTATTACTTCTCTGTCTAGACTTGAACTTGAAATATCAGGTACAATTACTATTTGCTATCACTTCTCTGTCTAGACTTGAACTTGAAATATCAGGTATAATTACTATTTGCTATTACTTCTCTGTCTAGACTAATCGTTATTATCGTTGACATAACGAAAAGTATACGTTTGAATTTCATTGTGACTCGAAAAACTAATGTAAAAAAGCGGCATAGAGTTAAACATATCACCTGTAAAATATTTTGTAACTGAAAACTTGATTCACATACCATTTCCTGATAAGAAAATGTATTGTTTATTTCTACGCTGGGTATGATGGCCTCCTGATGGATCAGTGTAACTCTACAAACTTACAACGACAAAGTCCGGGGTTCGATTTCTCGCGAGAGGATAGAACGCAGATAGCTTATTGTGTAGCTTGACGCTAAAATAAACCCTAGATACTTTGTTACACCTAAGTACCCCTTCCTACAGTTGCCCTACTTCATAAAACACAGATAGATTCCAAATACTTCACACTGAATAACTTTTAGAATATACAGTATATTTAAACCAAAAATAGGTAAAAAACAGTTCTTTAATAATTAAACATTACGAATAAACAAATATAACTCGAGATTAGAACATTAAACTGTACACTAAATGAAAAAAACAAAATCAAGTTTTAATGATGAGCGATTATATTTAACTGCAAAGATTTATTTATATATATATGTATATGTTTCTGGTTATTTATATCTTGCTGAAACTCTTAACAAAACAAATTTACAGTTCAGAAGAATGTAAATAAAAGATCGTGTGATTTTAGAACTAACTCCTACTGAAAACAGTGTGATTTTAATAATTTAAAATACACTAATTGTAATTATGTAAAAACAGCATAATGACTTCATCGAAAAATCGAAGGAAACCCAGGCCTAGCAGTGACCGTGCACAACTTACCATTCTCGCTGCACATATCACAAGCTTCGTCATCTGTTAAGCATGATTCTTTACAACACCAAAGACACCACCGTCCTATTGCTTTCATGTACGAAAATTCTGGCATTAAACAAATTCTACACAGTAATTTTTCTTGATGAAAATATTTAACAACTAACTATTTTACGGAATTGTTTTTAATTTTATGTCACTACATTATGATGTTGTCTTTAGCCAACGTGCAACCTGATCTTTTGAAAAAGTCTGTTGCGCCTAAACAGGATATCTTCAAGCAGTAACATGTACTAAACGAGTTCAGAACTTGTGACCCAATTCAAATGAAATTATATATGCTCACGCGTTCTTCCAACAGGGGGATGTTACTAGGTGCAACTCAACGGAGAGAAATCTGATACTTGCAAATAGAATATCTGACGTAAGGTGTACTTTTTAAGTTTTTTGTAATTGAGTTGTTTGTTGTATCTTACGTTATTATCTATAATGATTTCAAAATGAGGATAATTTATATTCTAGTTACGCAAGTTTAAGAAAGTGTAAATAACTATAGATTTCGAAATACATATAACTTGTACGTCAGTTTTATAAGTGACATGATTAAAACTTCTTTCTTGAAACTGGACTATTTGGAATAAACAAACAAACAAACAAAAAATAAAGTAAATATATCAGTTTTTTCCCCGAAAATTGTATTATTCAAGTTCAGTTTGTGGTTTGTCTGAATGCTTTAAATATATCCATATATGATATAAGGTAATGTATATGTGTGTAAAGTTCGAAGTAAAGCAACGGATTGTTTGTTTGCTTGCTTTTATTTAGCTTCTAAAACACGTGCTTTTAGGTAATACTGTAGGTAATAACTCAAATGTTACTAGAAAGTAAAAGAAAGAATCAAAAGCCTTAATCATTATTTTTACAGCATTATATGATATTGTTACGTCTCTTTTCGTTTGTTAATTTCCCGTATAATTTCTTTCCGATGAAACTTTAACGATACAAGTCCTTTCTTAAATAAAACTGGTTTATTCTTTCTCAATATAACTTTGCAATACACTTAATTTCCACAGTCACTTTAACTTAAACACACGCTATAATTCACAACGATTCACGCACTTTACTTACGGTCACTACCGCGCTTGACTCAATTATCCATCTCTATCTCTGCCTGTCTGCAATTATCTATGCCGTCACTTCTCATCTCCGCTTTATTTGCCGGGCTTATATATTAAAATAGAGGGCGCCTAGAAAACGCTCGGGCCTTCGTGATCCTTCAAGAATCTCATGACGTGTTACCAGCGTCACGTGACTTCCGCTGTCGTAACACTGTCCCATCCTTAGTATTGTTCGTCCCGAACAATAACCACTTACATGAAACCAATAGATAATTAACAATAACTTAATGAAATATACAGAATTTACAGCAACAAAATTAAAATTCAACAAAGTCTCTTATTTTACAGGACGTATTTTCTTCCATACTGGTTTCCGTCTCGTTGGCTTCTGCTTCACGTGGGGTTCATCTGCTCCATCAGGAAATGTTCCATTACCGGTAGCATTCACATCAGTGGAAGTAACTTCATTAACGGCTTCACTGTTTTCCTTCTCAAAACCGAGTAGAGTTTATTCTTCGACAGTGGCATCTCAGATGACACGTTTTCAGTAGCGTCATTTGTTCCATTCTTTACTTCGTTCCAACTGAAATGTCCTGGACCATGATAACGCAAACGCCTGTTGGCATGCACCACCTTTAGCTTACCTCGCCGACCACATTTTATCTGGAAAGTCACGTCTGATAGACGATCCACTGTGTCATATGGGCCTTCCTATGGAGAAGACAACTTCGGAGACTTCCCTTTGGTCTTCCTGGGATTATACAACCACAACTTGTCTCCAGGTACAAAGCTGACTTCATTAGATCTCTTATCATATCAACTTCATCGAATCAGCAGACGTTTTCAAGTTTGAACGCACTTCATGGTGAATATCATCCATCCTTTCCGATAACACTTTCACAAACTCTGACACATTTCAGGCAACTCTTCGTATGGTGGGCGTCCTGTTATCAGGTCCACTGGCAACCAAGTTCCCAACCAAACATCAGCTTGTATCCAGTGGTTTCATGCTCTGCTGCTCTATAGGCCATCAACAGTGGAAGGAGTAAGACATCCCAGTCATCTTGGCGACTATTACAAAACTTTGCCAATTCCTGTCCCAGTGTGCAATTGTACTTTTCTACCATCCCATCAGACTGTGGGTGAAATGGCGTTGTCCTGGTCTTTTGTATGCCAAACAACTTGCAGCATTCATGGACACAGCTGATTC